GGTTTACCGCTTCGGAAAACATAACGTTCGTAATAAAAAAGTTCAAGATGGCGACTTTTCAGGAATGTATCGATTTTGCCCTTCAGAATTGTCCTTTATTTAGTAATTCTGATATTGTTTTGAAGGATAAGCAATTAGCCACATTAAGAGCATTGTTTGATGGACAAGATTGTGTATCTATACTTCCCACAGGGTATGGAAAAAGCATTATTTTTCAGCTGTTGCCGTGGTTTGCACAGCGCAAATTTCAAAAAGAGCGACCGATGATGGTTCTTGTGGTGTCCCCCTTAAACTCCCTTATGAAAGATCAAGTTTTAAATCTGAGAAAGAACGGAATAAGTGCTTGCTGTCTGAATATTTCTGGTTGGTGTAATTGATATTTATTGATATTATTGTTGTTGATAATATATATTATTCCGTTTAATAATAATATGATAAATGCCCTTACGAGGGTATCCAGTCAACTCGTACCCATTCCGACTCGTACCCAAAGAGTCAACTCGTACCCCAAACTGAAGTCATAAAATAAATAATGAAAATATTTCACTTTTTGATATATTTTCATAAAGATATCTGATTTATTATTCCAATTTAGTTACACTACTTATGTTTTATAAAATAATGACAATTTAAATAAAATTTGTTTGAAAAATTGAACTTGGCATAATAAAGATATAGATAGGGCCCAGATAGATTCTTTATTTCCAAATCAGGGCCCTTTATAGATTATTTCCAAATCAGGGCCCTTTCAGGCATCACAAACAACAAGCATGATTTATGCAATTACCACCAGCACAGACAAATTATTTGTATACTAAATAATCTATAGTACATATCTTTGTATATAGTATAACACTGTATATGTAAGTAACAGTTCTGGGTACGAGTTGACTCCTTGGGTACGACTCGGTTTGGGTACGAGTCGGTTTGGGTACGAGTTGACTGTAAATCCTTACGAGCCAGGCCTAAGACATAAACTGAGAACAGACATATCGAATTATGAAATACCGGTATTCAACCTTGAACTCTTCTGAAAAAAATGCATGTAAAAATCACTCATTAAATTGTGTCTCCTTAAGAGACTTTGTACTCAAAAGTTTTGGGGCTGTGTAAAGCAATTGATACAGCTACTTCTTCAATGAATTTATAAAGGAGGCCAGTTACGGTCAGCAAGATAATTGATTGGTAATAATTCAGTACAATGAGAAGCAATCATACTTATGCACGCCTCAACGTACACAAGGTAGTGTACAGTTACTCAAACAATGGTTATTTTCAAAATTAAACATACACCTGCTTCATAATTTCATTCAAGAAGTAACTGTATATTGCTTTATATACGATACCTCCAAAAATTTTATAATTAGAACAAAAAGGTGGGATAAAATAGCTAAAGCAAGCTTTTATGAATACCTTAAGCTTTATACCTAGATTTGTTGCACAATGGTATTTAACTTGCCAGTCAAAATTTTCCTGTGTTTTTGTAGAAACAAAACATTTAAATTATTTTTATGCCCCTGGATCGAAAGATCCCGGGGGTATATTGTTTTTGTCCTGTCTGTATGTTGTCAACTTAAACCTTGCCCATAACTTTTGATTGGTTGGAGCTATGACTTTCATATACCACATGTGTATTCCTTGTGACAAGACCTTTCTTTGAGTACCATCATATTTGACCTTTTGACCTTGACCTTGGAGTTTGACCCACTTTTGCAAAATTTTATGACTTTAACCTTGGCCATAACTTCTGAACAGTTGGTGCTTGGGGTTTCAAACTTCACCTGTGTATTCTTTGTGAGAAGGCCTTCCTTTGGATACCAACAACTTTGACCTTTTGACCTTAGAGTTTGACCTACTTTTGAAAAACTTTAACCTTGGTCATAACTTTTGAATGGTTGGTGCTAGGGCTTTCATATTTCACATATGTAATCCTTGTGACAAGGCCTTCCTTTGGATACCAACAACTTTGACCTTGACCTTGACGTTTTACTTACTTTTAAAAAACTTTAACCTTCACCATAACTTTTGAACAGTTGCAGCTAGGGCTTTCAAATTTCAGAGGTATATTCCTCGAGACAAGACCTTCCTTTGGGTATCAACAATTACATTTGTTATCTTTTGGCTTGGATTTTGACTTGCATTTGAGAAACTTTAACCTTTGCCATAAGCTGCCATATGAGGGCATCACTGTTTCACAAACACATCTTGTTTTATTCTGCAAGTATTTATGATGTAGAAAAAATATTATCTTTTGCAAAAGTATAACATAGGGGCAAGTTTAAAGTTGCAAATGCTACACAACTTATTTGACAATTCTCGATCAATAGCCCAAGATAAGGGTAAGGGTATTGACAAAATTTATAAGGTTTACACTAATTTCCAGAATTGTGTTTTTCTAACCGGGTGTGTCAATAATCAAGACACACATATATAAAGATGCTAAACATTAAAAAAACTGGAGAAGGTTTTCTATGAGCTATACTTATGGTACATGTATTTCAGTGCATGTTTTCTTCTTAATGAAAATTGCTTATAGACTGTTTAAATTTTCAATCGGACTATTGACTAGTATTATAATAATTAAAAACAGGGATTTTCCACTCCATTTTGGGAATGGGGCCCTGGCTCCGGGGTCATAAAACTTAGACAAGCTCACTTTTGAACTCGGTCTCACTTTTTCACTATATATTCCTTTTGTAAAAGTGAGACTGAGATAAAAAGTGAGCTCGTCTAAGTTTTATGGCCCCGGAGCCAGGTCCCTGGAATTGGGAATTAAACATGTTATCTTTTATTGGGAAAATTTATTGCAAGATGTTTTTCAAGAAATAAACACTTTTGATGAATAAATTTGATGTTTTACTTAATAATTCTTAACTGTTAATCAGAGAATAGATAAATTAAGATAAAGTTTTAGCCAAGTTTCCTAACATTTTGTTCATTTTATTCAGCTTTCCAAACCTGGCCATGTTTTTCTTTTTATCAGAACTTTGATCAAGTTAACTGTGTTGGTTCATTTTTGGGCAAAAGGGAGGGATTTTGCAATTGGGAATGGGGCACATATTCGGCCCTATACACCTGTAAACGGGGCAGTGGAAAATCCCTGAAACATTCCACTTTTTGACAATGATACTCATAATTCAGAGAATGAACAGTCCCAACTTTTTAAATGGTTCTGGTGTATATGGACTGTAGGTACACAAGGTGCTACGTTTCATGAGAAAAGTGCAGATGATGCAAGTGATGATGATGATGATGAACCCAATACTGTAGAGTGTGATGTACCAATAGAACAATTAGAGAAGGGAGAGTTTAACTTAATATACTCTCACCCTGAAGCTTTCCTGAAAACCAGATTTTCAAAACTTCTTAGGTCAAAGAAATATCAAGAGCTAATCTGTGCGATAGTTATCGATGAAGTTCATATGGTTTCAGAATGGTAAGTTCAGAAGTTAAGATATCTCTTAATTTTTTTCCTCTTGTAATACCTGTCGCCCGCATGGCGCAGTGGTTAGAGCGTCTGCTCTAGAGTTGCGAAGTAAGGAGTTGATCCTTACGTCGCGGGTTCGAATCCCACTGTGCGACGTGGAGACCGGTCCTTCGGATGAGACCGTATAAACCTAGGTCCCGTGTCGCAGTAGGTGCTGGCACGAAAAAGATCCCTCACTGCTCAATGGCCGTAAGTGCCGAGTATAGGACAAAATTTGCAGCTCTCCACCGGCAAGTGGTGGCATCTCCATATGAGTGAAAAATTCTCGAGAAGGATGTTAAATAACATACAATCAATCAATCAATCTTATAATACCTACAGTAAAACACACTTATAGCCAACATGCTTATAATGAATTGACATTTATAACCGAGTAAATTTCATTCCCTGTGACTTTAAAATATGTTATGAACTTAAAACTTAACAGATAAAATGAATTACGGTTATAACTAAGCAAAATCATCCATCCTTGGCACTTTGTTATAAGCGTGTTTTACTGCAGTAGTGTACTCTGACTATGTACGAGGGTTCGATTCCCTCCCTAGGCAAAACAAAACAAAAAAAAGCTGGTGCAAAGTGGGTAGATCGCCTAGTGGCCCCGCATAGTCAGAAGTATACATTTTTTAATGTCATGTACAATATAACCTTTTGATATTTGCAGGGGGGCAGAGTTTCGTCCTGCTTTTTTGAGGCTAGGAGATTTGGTTTGTACATTTGACAAGGCTTTTCATTTGCTACTGACTGCAACTGCTACTCCAAAATCTATCGAGACACTTACAAAACAAATGAATCTTAAAACTCCAGTTGTGATAAGTGAGAATGTAGATAGGCCCAACATTTTCTTAGAAATCAAACAAAGATTGCCAAACATCAACAAATTGAAAAGTATGACGACTTGATAAAACCGATTGCCTTAGAACTGAAAGAAAAAAAAACATTCTTTTCCTTTGACTATCATGTATGTAGAAAACCTAGAATCTATGGGATATTTTTTTCAATACTTATCATTTGAACTCAAAGAGAATGGTTATGATGGAGAAAATATTCCAGAAAACAGAATATTTGCCCAGTATCACAAGGATTATCCAGAGTCCATGAAAACAATAATAATTCAAGAACTTACAAAGCAAGACCCAAAGTTACGTTTGGTTCTTGCAACTGTGGCCCTTGGTATGGGAGTAAATGCCCCAAGTGTTGAGAGAATTATCCATTGTAGACCACCCACTTCAATGGAGAAATACCTGCAGGAAATTGGAAGGGCAGGACGTTTGGGGCAACCATCCAATGCAGTTATGTTCTTTAACAATAATGATATAGCAAAAAACCGCAAAGGCATGACAGAGGAAATGAAAAAATACTGCACTACAAAAACCTGTTTAAGGCTCATGCTTGTTAACCACTTTGGTTTTGACCACTTTGTTTTCTCCGACAGTAAAGAAAAGTGCTGTTCAAATTGTAAAGCCACTCTCTAGAATTTATTTAATTTATACAAGATTAACACGAAGTAGTTTTAAAAGAGTCAAATATTATTTGTTTGAAGAAGAAAAAAATCAAGTACGAATTGATGCCATCTCATATACCCGACTTAAATGTTACCCTTTTAATTGGGGGTACCAAGTACTGGTACATGTATTTCATAATAACTGTATGAAAAGCTTTTATGTACATGAATATCATATTATCACAAGAATACTGTAATATATCTTTCATACATGAAATTCCTATGAAACAGCACTGAATTATCAAACCACTATATAACTACTGAATTTATAACCCATGACCTACACTATGCTTTGTCTTACTGTAAACATGGTAAAAGGTAACTATGTATTTCATATATTGTATGAAAAGCTTCTATGTACATGAGTATCATATTATGATATCACAAAAATACTGTAATATAAATCTCTCTTTCATATATGAAATTCCTATGAACGACTGTAGCTTCTACTGACATCTTTGTTTTATAACCCATGACCACACTTTGTCTTATTGTAAAGTTAACTATGTCATAAACATAACATGTTGCAACTTGATAAGTGTCTTTGTCTTACATATTATAAATGTATATGAATGTACTTTATAACCAACTGTTTATCAATCACTTTCTGTTGTTTTCATGCAATCATGTGACTGCATGATGCATTCCAACACTGTGTTTTTCTGAATCCATGTCATCCCTCTCTGAAACGTTTAATGTTTTTGTGCAATCGCAACTGCATGATACTTTTCGAATCACAACACTTTGGTTTTCTGAATCCATGACACCCCTCTCTGAAACGGTTACAGTTAAATTTGTACACTCACGTGACTGCATCATCCGACTTTCTGGATAACAACACTGGTTTTCTGAATCCATATCACCCCTCTCTGAAACTGATGACTTAGTAAACAGTCTATATGACAGTTATAATAATACATATGTATAATAATTAAATTTTTTGAAATTATATTACATCTTCATCACTGCTTTCATTCAAGTCTTCTGGAATAGTAATTCCTCGTTGTAACCTCCCCACTGTTGACATAACTTTGGAAGTAAAGAGTGGCCTTTCAATGTCTAATGGGGAACATTTAATGTTTGGAAAATGTGTAAGTTTACGATTTGGATTTTGAATCCACCACTTTAGGGGCATTATTTCAGTTAAGAGCTCCTTGACGTCACCCTCAAATGACTTTTTCTGATGGCGTGTCTTCTTCGCTTTAACACACAACATTCTATCGACATTGTCCACAATGCTTTGAATAACAGGGGCTGCTTTAGAGACAGTCACAATTGCCCTTTCAGTTTTATTTGAACCCAGACCTCTAATTAGATCTTTTAAAACTAGCACTTCATTTTCCTTTTGAAGATCTGTGGCTTTGTTTGACCCCCTTTTTCCTTTAAGGTTAACAAAGGAACCCGCTCTTACTTTCATGGCCATTTTTTCTGAAAGCAAAATTTCAGTCTTTAAAATGTAGTCAATGCACTCTTCCATGTACTTGGATAGACAAGAGTGTCCAAAAAAGACAGGAATGCAAAATTTCATATGCACATTATTTCGGTAAATGTCTCCTTCCTTGATGGCATCTTTCATACTTATGATTAAGAAGTACCACTGAAGAAACTGATGAACATAATTGTAAAGATCATCTTCCTGTGTAACTAAAGAAATTTCTATAAGATAATTTCCTGTGGTAGTTGGAATCATCACACATGTGCCTCGCTTTGCCTCCATCACTCCAACATTAATAATAAAACGAGCACTTCCAATGTACAACTCGAACTGTAGCTTGCTTCCATCAATTGTACCGTTTACCACAAAATTAGAACCATTCACTTTAATGTTCAGTTTTACCAAGGGCTCCTGAAAAGAATGTGACACTTTTCAATAAATGCATATAAGTATTTAGTATAGAAATTCATCTTCTTGTGCTATTTTATCACCTACCAATATATCAATTATTGCGCTGGGAAATGTAACTTTACAAAGATGAAAAACATGCAATTAAAGAAAAAAAAACTTCTACACTATGTATACTACATGTATTGTCTCTATTCATAGAAATATCTGATACATCTATTTACCTCTTTGGGAAAAATGTATACTAGATCCTCCATCACTTCCCCCATAATTGTCTGAAATATTCTGTCCTTGTGCTTGTTGTGCATCATCTTCATATTGTCCTTACAGAGAGGGTGTTCTGGTTCATCATCCATGGTTTCCATGTTGAACTTGTTCATCACATAGGAAAGGAAGTATGCACACCCAACTGTTAGAACAAAATCTTCGTGTGCCTAAAAAAGTTTTAAATGTCTACAGTCTATATATTCATCTCTTGTAATTGAATAAAACACATATATTAACAGGGTACACTTACACCAGAACTTCAATAATGTACAGTCTCTAGAATTTATTTTTAAGTGGTATATTTTTAAAATCTCAAATGATATTACAAAAAGAAACTACTACATGTAATTTAAAGAATTACAAGTTTAATAATGAGTGCTGCATACCTCAAAGCGACCTTTGACTTTCCCATTGACATTGCTTCGCTCAATGACTAACTTCAAACTGTACAGAGTGCCTTTGTCTCTACCACTTAATTTGTAGAAGCGCTTGTATAGTTTCTACAGGGAAAAAAGTGAAAGCCATTACGTCAGGTACATATATTATATGTACCGTAGTTATCTTTTACTTAAGAAATAATGCATCGGTTTTTTTAAACATCTATTGTTGATATACCATTACAGGTTGGTCACAAATAAAATCTCAAAGTCCCAAGGGTAGATTTGATCATTTACCAACCCATATTTATATCCCAATACATGATTTCAAATAGTACATGTTCTTTATTATATTTACACTTGTGACTGATTTTTAATATATATTTACATGGATTATAATCTTCATCACATGTTATAAAATGGCACAAGTTTGATCAAATGAACATGATTGACATCACTGAGAAATTATGTTAAACATTTATTACTTAGGAATTTGTAATTATACGATGATAGATATGGGTTGCTCAAATGGTGTAACATGAAAGAGAATATTTGCATTTGTAAATATTTATCATTGTTCTTTAATATTTTGTCTCATAATTTTTTCCTTTAAAATTAAGCCCTACGCCCCTACCTCTAAAAGATCTTGCAGTGTATGAAACATTTCAACTATGATCGGTTCCAAATGTTCTAGCCGATCTGTTGGTGTAAGAGCTCCATCTTGAATAGCCTTTGCACCTTGCAACCTCACACGGGTCAACTGGTCTCCGCCAACTGGAACCTTAAGCCTCTCTAGGTCACATGCTGCAATTTAATAGATCAGGATTATAATTATCAAAAATGTTTCAGATGCTTTAGTTTGAGTCAGATAAATGTTATATGACTCACCTCGTCCACTTTTAGTGTACCACTGTAATATCTGTGCTTCATATGCCTTCATGATGTGGACACAGTCTGAGTAGCTGGCTTCATTCTTCATTAATACAGGCAGCCAATATACCTCAGACTTTTCTGACATTGTGTCTGCCAATGGATGCGGAATGTGGTCGGGGAGAACCGATTTCAACCAATCAAATTTTGGAAAGTACTTCAACATGATCCTGCCCAGCAAAACTTTTAACGAGTCTTTGTACAAAGTATCTTCAGTAGTCGAAGGAACAAAGTTTTTCCAATTAACACTATTAATGTCTCCAATACTGGAAGTGTCATCTAAATTTTCAGTACTGATTCTGTCAAAGATGAAGTCCAAAGCAAAGAAATGACAATCTCTATTTTTGTTGTCCATTCTGATATCATTTGTCCTTAAATATACATCCAAATTATCCCCATTAATTTTTCCATCCTTTCCTAGACTCACTTTTTCCATGATTTGGAAGTCAGAAAAGTCAGAGAAGTCTTTCATCAAATTCCTCTTCGTCTCATGTGACAAGGTGATATGAACTTTGTGCAACCTCTCCAACAGCTACAAAATGTTAAAAAAAATATTTAGAAGATATTTTTACAATTATAATTTTGTCACCAATTTCACTCAGATGGCTAGTGCAATAATTGGGGGCTTTAGTTAAGCAATAGTCAGGTAATTGTGAAATAATATTTCTAATGTTGGTTTAACTTAAAAAGAATATTAAAGAGTGCTTATCTCCAGTTACTTGTTTAAGCTATGACACCAAATGAACATATGAAGAAAATGGTCATTTTTTAACTTTAATTAGAAATAAATATTACATATAGGCTTTCCTAACAAATGTAATGGGAGAGAATCAGAAGTGTCGAGACTGTAGCTCTAGTGGTTTGTACTTATAAAAAAGGAAGAGGAAGTAGCAGTTTAACTTTGCAACAGCAAAAAATAGAATGATCCTTGATTTAGTATCTTTTTGTGCCAAGATTGCAATCAGACTCAGTATTTTCCCTAAGAACTGGTTACTGGCCAAATTGACAGCTTCAATTGATAAAAATGATGCTTCAAAATAAAAATATAGAAATATATATATATTTAAAAAAGTCAAAATTAGATTGTTGTAAGGTCCACAGAGACTTGTCATAAACTTCAACCAAAAGCCTGTTACACATTGATCTCTAACCTTTTACTTTGAAAAAAGGGATAACACTGCAGACTAAAACTGTACAAGGAGTAGCCTTTTAAAAGAATTTTACAGAAATTTCTAATTTTAGTAAACTTAGACCCAAATACTGAATTCCCATCAGTTATGGACAGTTAACTTTATATTCAATATGTCTTTGTTATCTTCTTGTTATACTGTAACACTATGCTGAGGTAATAGTAGTTTAAAAATTAAAGAACAAGATACGGTTTCAATACAAATCTGGCCCTACATTTTTCTAAAATTTAGAAGTGATGTAAAAAATTAAAATTCATCCTTTCTGAATTATTGAAATTCCATGCAGTAAAAACATACAAATCATTTTTCCAATATGACCAATTGTGACGTCATGAACTTGTGCATTTTCCCGTATTTTCTTTTAAAGATGCAGAAGACATCAATTTTCAGTGGAAATTTCTTTCAGAAAACATACAGCGCATGCATCGCCCACAAAGATTTTGAGATAGGTAATTTTTCAAAGCATTTTACACAATATATCTAAAAATTGAAGTGTGCGAGGGCTGCGGACAATATTTTCTAAAGGAAAATAAGCACAGAAATGAGTCATTTTGAGGCTTTTCTGCATAAAACTAAGAAATATACCAAATTAATGACCTCATATTTCCAGAATGGCCCTCCTACATGCAATATTCTTTAATGATTTATCGTATTCATCTACCCAACTCATGTTATAGCCAAATTCATAACTTTTTAAGAACATAAGAGTTTTAAGGAATAATAAAGCCCAAACCGTACCTTCTTCTTTCAGACTGATTAAAAAAACTTTCAAGATGTACCCATTACGTTGAAGATGCAATCTATATTAATATTGGTATCTTTAAACATTTACTGTCAATTAAAAAGTATTGGACACTTTTTCTCCTTCCTGTAAACTTACACTTATTTTGGAATGATAGGATGAGTCTTGGCATATCTGAACTGTAAGGATGAAAGCTTTCCATCTGAAAGTTACAAAAAACAAAACAAAAAATTAAAACAAAAGAAAAATATTAAAATAAATTGTTCATTTCAAGAAATTTTCCACAAAATGTTAGTAAAAATAATAATGAATATAATCGTTAAAACATTAATGAATATAATCATTAAAACATTAATCAAGTGCAAATCAAAAACCTTTCAGATTTTAATGATGTATGAAAGAATAGCATCTGCATGTCATTCCTTTTCTTTTTTGTTGGTGTTTGGGACTATCAAATCACTTCAACATATCCATAGTATTTGAGATATTGGTGTTCCAGATACCGGAGTTCAACTGTACATGTACTTAAGGTCATGGAAGTCCTTTTATTTTTTCTATTTTTATCTAAAGATACTAAGTTTTACACTTTTGAAAGTTTAATTCCAAGATATTTCAGTAATTAAATCTATGATACTTTCATTTTTTATATAGCAATTTCTGTCACATGAACAATTTGGAAGTCCATGTAGTAAAAAAGTGACTCCCATCAAGCCACGAACCCCGTTTTCACTTAGATCCGACACTAATTTAGTGTTTCGGCGGTGTGATAACAGGCCAAGCAATAAATAGATATTCTATACTAATTATAATTAGTTATATAAGTCCGCCATCATCAGGAATCCACTTATATATATAAATATTGTATATTCATTTTATTTGTTTTATTATATACCGGTATGTTCTTTTTAAATAGTAGAACCGGTAAGGGAATTTCCCAAGGTCACGTAATGTTTAAATAATAAACACAGATGAAAGTTGTTTGTGTAAATAAATATGCAAGAAAGCGATAATTTGTTAACTGTCTCTGACTGAGATATGTCAGTAAATGATATGGTTGATTACATTGTAATTGACCAGTAAGTGAGGCTTTACTAACTTTTATTAAAGTTTTGAACTTGTTAGGAGATCTCCTAAACTCCTGTGTTTTTTATATGCAATAATTGGTTTGTCTTTGAATATATCTTTGAGTTCGGGCTCTCTTGATAGAGTGTGCCAGTATTTTAGCAATTTCTTTTTGATATTGCTAATGGCTGGGTTGTATTTTGTAACCATGACCAATGGTATATCAGAATTACTGTTAACTTTCTTTTTTTGAATTAAATGGTCTCTTTTGTAATTTTCTAGAACATTGTTCATTGAACTGTTAATCTCATTTTCATTATATCCTCTTTTCAACAGAGAAAATTTGAACTTCTCGATCGCATTGTGAAAAATATTAGAATCGCTAGTATTGCGTAAATGACGAATGATTTCGCCTTTAATAATTCCCCTGAAAACAGAAGGGCTATGTGCACTATTGCGTTCCAGATACTGGAAAGTATTAGTAGGTTTTATGAAAGTTTTGACATCAAGAATTCCTTCTAATTCAAACCTTTCTCCCTTAAATAGGGTGATGTCAAGGAAGTTCATTTCTTTGTCAGAAATTTCATATGTGAATTTTAAAAGAGGATGATGTGAATTTGCTATTTGGAAAAATTGATGAATTTCATCCATTTCCCCATGATAGATTATAAATCCATCATCTCGATATCGACCGTGATAAACAATATTATGTTGAAATGGAAATTTGTTTAGAATTTCCGAAGTGACTTCATACATTCTGATATCGCACACTTCAGGACTGCATTTTGAGCCCATTGCGCAGCCTATAATTTGTTTATATTTCTTAGAATTAAATTCAAAGACATTATTTTCTAATATTGTTTGTAACAACCACAGAAGATCATCTGTAGGTGGCGAAGGAATTTTAAATTCTCCTTTGTTGAATTTAGAGTATGCTTCACTGACAGCTGTGAGTAATTCGTTGAACTGCATATTTGTATACAGGGATGTTACATCATAACTGACCATTATGCATTCTGCTTGCGGTCTAAGTTTTTCTATTTTTATTATGAAATCAGAGCTATCTCTGATGTAAGTGGATTGTGTTTTGACTATTGGTATTAGGAAGTAATCAACATATTGGCTGATTCGTTCCGTCGCCGACCCGCATTGCGAGATAATAGGTCGTGCCGGGCAAATGATTTCTTGATTGTAGTGGCCCTGTTCTTTGATAAGATCAAACATCGTCTGATCTAATTTGTGAAGTTTAGGTAGTAAGTATAATCTACCTATTCGTGGATACGTAATATTCATTAAAAATCTATATGTAACTTTATCTAGATACCCATTTGCCTTAAGTTCATTGATTTTATTTTCAATATTCCTTTGGAGCAATGATAAATCAAAATCGTCAATTATTTCGTAATATTTAGTGTTCAATTGGCGATCGCCCTCCTTAATATAATCGTGTTTGTTCATAACAACACATATGTTGTTTTTGTCTGCCTTTTTAATTACAATATCGTGGCGATATCGTAACTGGTTAAGTGCTCTTCTCTCAAGTTGAGATAAATTATCAGAGCATTTTTTTATCTGAATTGAGGAAAGTTCAAGTTTGGTCTTATCAATGTAGGTTTCAAGTGCACCAATCATCTTAGGTGGTTCCTATCCACTCTTTGTGTAGAAAGGATGAATCTCATCGTTATTAGTCTTGAAATTGAACTTACATCTCATTTTACGTGCAAGTTCATCAAAATCTTTGAGTAAGTCGTTTTTTGCGACTTTTGTCGAAGGTGTTGGGATGAATTTCAGCCCTTTTGCTAACAATAAGTATTCACTATCTGTTAACTTGTTTTTGGTCAGATTGAATACATGTTCTCTTGCATAAAGAACATTGGAGTAGAACTTTCTATTTTTGCGGGCTTTGTATTTCATTGCCCTAATAGATCGTTTTCTTCTTTTGATGTTTCGATCGAAACGACGTGCCATTCTGTTGGCTGTGTATGTGAAAATGTGAGCAAACCTTCGCACGTGGTAAAAAATGCCGCTAGCGCATGCGTACAAATCCTGTATGTTATTATTGAATAATCCAGACGTAATCATGTTTGAACTAACCAATTAGAAAATTAGAAATACAATTTCCTTACCAAAAGGCATATCAATAAGATAGCAAAATTCCAAAGGAAATGAATATTTTATTCATTGATCATTCACAGAACATAATTTGTCACAGCATGTAATCAATAGCGAATGATACTTTAAAGAAATGACTAATTCCCATAGGGATAAGTTCGTTAGAGTTAAGAGTGATACACTCAAATATAATAATCGGACAATAGAGTCACTTTAGTATAGCGAATCAGTTCAGTTGCGCATGAGTGATACACTCAAGTTTTTATAACTGGACATTAAAGTCACTTAGTAAGGTGAAAATTTTCGCCCTTTATGTCCTTTGCCTTTGCCTCCTCTATATGAGGTACCGGTAGTGGATTTGTTTTTTCCAGCCGCCTGTTTAGGTTTGGTTCTTATTGCTGTGCAAAATTGCAACAGTTCCTTATCAAATTTTTCCTTGCTGGCATTCATACGGGTATTGAGCTCGTTTCGGGCTAATCCTGAGGTGGAAGTGGCTGTTCCGATTTTTTGGAGAGCCTCATGTCTGATTTCTTTTAATTGATTATTAGTTTCTTCAATTTTATCCTCCAAGAATTTGATGGATTCTTGCATAAATTCCCTTTTCAAAGAATCAGCCTTTTCCTTCCAAAGAGATTGGAACAAAATGTCAATGTCCTTATCTCCAAGATTGGGATTGCAGCTGATATTCCATTTCATGAATGGTGGCAACGTATTATTTTTCATTGAAAAATAAATTCCCTCCCGGGCACAGGCCAGTTGGTGTCGTGTTCCCAGTTTTTCAGTGAAATTATCACAGGCAATGGACACAGTAGTAGAGAAATTGTCCGATTTGACATCGGGTGAATCAAAATCTGTTAGATTCAATCCATAATCGAACTGGTCTTCAAGTTCATTTTGCATTTTTGCAAATTGTTCTTGATTACTAGGTAAATCGTCAACATCCATTTTGATGTTTTGTTTTTTAGAGAGTGACAATCTGTTCATGATGAAATCAGAGTGATAATGACCAACTTTTGGGTGGTCAGAACGGCAAAAGGGTGTGAATATCGAGTTCTTGCCGAAACAAATCAATTAGATTAGATCAAATGAAAGGAAGTTCGGATCGCAGACAAAGTCGGCGATTCACGAGCAGTTAGAGTCATTCGAACATTGTCCAGACGTAACATGTAGTAAAAAAGTGACTCCCATCAAGCCACGAACCCCGTTTTCACTTAGATCCGACACTAATTTAGTGTTTCGGCGGTGTGATAACAGGCCAAGCAATAAATAGATATTCTATACTAATTATAATTAGTTATATAAGTCCGCCATCATCAGGAATCCACTTATATATATCAATATTGTATATTCATTTTATTTGTTTTATTATATACCGGTATGTTCTTTTTAAATAGTAGAACCGGTAAGGGAATTTCCCAAGGTCACGTAATGTTTAAATAATAAACACAGATGAAAGTTGTTTGTGTAAATGAATATGCAAGAAAGCGATAATTTAACTGTCTCTGACTGAGATATGTCAGTAAATGATATGGTTGATTACATTGTAATTGACCAGCAAGTGAGGCTTTACTAACTTTTATTAAAGTTTAGAACTTGTTAGGAGATCTCCTAAACTCCTGTGTTTTTTATATGCAATAATTGGTTTGTCTTTGAATATATCTTTGAGTTCGGGCTCTCTTGATAGAGTGTGCCAGTATTTTAGCAATTTCTTTTTGATATTGCTAATGGCTGGGTTGTATTTTGTAACCATGACCAATGGTATATCAGAATTACTGTTAACTTTCTTTTTTTGATTTAAATGGTCTCTTTTGTAGTTTTCTAGAACATTGTTCATTGAACTGTTAATCTCATTTTCATTATATCCTCTTTTCAACAGAGAAAATTTGAACTTCTCGATCGCATTGTGAAAAATATTAGAATCGCTAGTATTGCGTAAATGACGAATGATTTCGCCTTTAATAATTCCCTTGAAAACAGAAGGGCTATGTGCACTATTGCGTTCCAGATACTGGAAAGTATTAGTAGGTT